AGACAATTTGTGCACGCTGCCTATTTAAGGAATGAGAATGAACTCATTTGAAGGGTCACAGCTTCGTGCCTGTGAAACGATGTCTTTGAAGAGTTTGGAACAGGCAAGTCAAGACTAAACTGGGCACAGGTCAATCTTTCCATGTTCTTCACAGCTACGGGGAGGAAACCACCCTGTTAATGTGAAATCCTCTCTTTCTGAAGCTGTTTTTAAATGACAGGATGGAAAAGGTTGTGTTTAACTCCCGTGGCCGAGTCGTGAGTCCCTGGCAGGGAAGTTGGAGTGCAGGGAGCTGGGACAGAAAATGATTCCTCAGCTCCTGCCCAAGTGCAAGTCCAAGGCTGTTTGCAGCCTCCCCTCCTTCCCTCCTTTTTAAGAGATCTCAAACCCAAGCTTTAATTTTCATCTGTGACCTTTAAAAAATATCAAGAGTTATTTGATGCCTCAGGTTTTGGCTTTATATTTTTCACATTCTGTGCTGCTTTAGTCTATGGGTCTGGGATTCACATTATGGGATGCTGAGCTCTGTGCACAGAGCAGGAGACAAAACAATTCCTGCTCCAGCTGGGCACCAAGGACAAATGATCCAAACCTCAGCCCAGGAGCACAAACACCGTGGGCTGGAGAGAGAAAAACAAGCAGGGTGGGACTGATGGGCTGGAGCTGGAATGGGACAATGAACTCCAAGGTGCCAATGGAGCAGAACTGATCCCAGGGAGAGCCCCGGGAGCGCTCGTGCATTTTGGGACCATTTTGGGTCATTTGGGTTCATTTTGTGCCATTTTGGTTCATTTGGGTTCATTTCGGGACCATTTTGGTTCATCTTGGGTTCATTTTGTGCCATTTTGGTTCATTTGGGTGCAGCCCTGGCTGGGCTCTGGTGCTGCCCACGGTGGATCCATGCAGGAGATCCTTTGAATAAATCCCTGCTTTATTTTTTAGCTCTGTCCAGCTCTGCTCTAGCTCAGCCTGCACCAGGCAGCAGTTCCAAGAGAAAAGCTGGACCAGTTCAGTCTCCTTGAGCTGAATTTTGGGTTTTTCCCTCCTCTGAGGCGCCTCAACTATGAAGGTATCACCACCATCCCACAGATGTCCATCCACAAGGCTTCCCAATATTTTCTAATATAACAGCAAATGACAGATGGGAGTGGAAAATGAAAATCCCTCTTCACTTCTCCACTATGGCAAGGAGGATTTTGGGGCCAAACTCCACAAAATAGCTGAAGATCAAAACTAAAGAGCTGATTTTTCTGTGCTTCTCTTTTTCTCTTGGTTTGATTTCTGCTCCCTTGGATGTCAGGAGAGAATATTCCTTGAACAACCATGTGCCAGTGGGATGCTTCTGTGGGAGATTTGCTGTGCAGGTACACACAGCTGGCTCATATTTTTCACCACTAAATATTTAATTAGTCCAAGTTTTAGAGGTGTTTTCTGACTGAGCTGATTCAATTTCTAGTCATACTTTTTTTTTTTTTTTTAAATAATTGTGACATATTTGAATAAAGGTTGGAAATCCCATCCAACTCAGAGCTCCTGCCCTGGATGGATTTAAGGGACTGAGGTGTGCTTGGGAAGCTCATTAAAAACAACATCTGAACTTCCAGAGCAAAACCTTGGAGCTCATGGAAAATTACCTGAATGATTTTCATGTAGTTCACTTCAAATTAAGCAAATATCACCAAAGTAACTCCTCAGTGGGAAACAGCTTTATGTTGGGAGTGGATTTTCACTCTTAATGCCTGTAACTCCAGGAGGTTTGCTCTGGACATATCACACAATTCCTGTCTCCTTGCCTCAGATCTATCTCCTGGTTGGGAAAAGCTTTTTTTGCTAATTTGGCCTTAAAATTTTTGTGAAATCTCTGAGTTTTCTAAATGAATACAAAATGCTGAAATGCCAAAGGAGCAGATTAACAGGGAGAGTGTCACAGGAAGGTATTTCACAATGTGGGGAAGGCAAATTGATTGCAACTTGCAAACTCTGGTTGTTATTGCAGGGTTTGCTCATGTTTGTTTATACACTTTTAATTCTGTGTTAATTCTTTTAATTCTCTTTCCAGCTAAGGATCTCCGAGTTTTGTAAATATGGATGGGAAAGTACAGTAATTCCCATTCTCCGGAAGAGAAACTGAAATGGTTTTGAAAACTGAGATCTCTAAGATATCCACTTTTGCTGTGAAATGAAAGCAAAAAAAACCCTTTATTCTATTTTCACTCAAATACTGGTTTTAAACATCAAACTCCTCTTCTTATGTCCCATTCTGGATGATTACTCCTCTCCAGGATGACAGTAGCAGTGGATGAAAACTCAAATTCCACCAGCCCAGGAATCCTCCAGCTGGCCATGACTTGTGTGGGGTTATAAACATTGCCACACTCCACTACTAAAGGAGCCTCTAAATCAGTGGTTCAAGAAAATGAAGAAGATTATTGACTTAATTCAAGCAAAGATTGCTTAAAAAATAAAAATCGGGCCATCTTTCTTTGTGAAGAAACATTTATTATCTGATTTAGATGAGCAAGCAGTGCTTCATGCACTGCATCTTCTAGAGAGGAGCTTCCAGGGGAAAATCAGGGAGAAAATGGTGAAGCAGACCAAGAAACCGAGGTCCAGGAGAAGATGCTCTGAGAGTCAGCTTGGAATTACTCAGGACTTGGCAGGTTTTGCTTTTTTTTTTCTGGAAATTAGAATCACTCACTGGGATGTTACAATTTCTTGTCTCTTTTAGCAATATTGCCCTGCCTGAGCAGGGAAGGGTTTGTGCAATAGTTACTGACCCAGGCTGAATATTTCTCTTTGAACAGAAATCTGGAAGCTTTTGTCACCTTCCACGCAGAGCTGTGGAAGGCACATTTATTTATTTTTAAAAGCAGCAGCATTTAGGAATCCCTGGAAGTGTCCCAGGCCAGGTTGGAAGAGTTTGGAGCAACCTGGGATAGAGGAAGGTGCCCCTGCCTGTGGTGGGGGGTGAAATATGATGATTTTTGAAGTCCCTTTCAACTCAAACCACTCTGTAACTCCATGAATATGTAAAATCTTGGTGAATTTTTTACCCATGAGGT